TTTCGTTGTACCCTGCTGAAGCGATGGTATGATTATAACAGCTTGTGTAGGTGGATAAATAAAGAATAACTAATGCACTTTTTAAGTTGTTTTTATGAATGATGATAATATTTAGTTTTTAGCGAATTTCCCGTATAAGAAATAAGCTATTACCGTAGGTCTCATGGTAAGACCTAGACCCGGGACCGGTTTTCTTTTTCATTTTGTGGTCCCTAGAGGCCAAAATTACCCTCCGTTCAAATAAATATATTTGAAATTTGGTAGAAACGTGTAAGCCTACGTTTATTAATAGCATCGAACAAATTTTAAATACTTTGTATATTGCCTAACAATGGTTTACAAGAACTCTTCCCCCGATCACAGATCAACAGTCTATCCGGGGGAATAATTCCATGTAATATATTGTTCTATTATTGTACTGTTTAATCTTTGGAATAAAAGTATTTTGATTTGATTTGAACGAGTTCGCGACCAAGCATGGTCGAGCTATGGGAACGTAGGTGTATGGGGGGTTTAATGCGGTAAAAATTGGGTTTTCCCATTTTTTACTCTCAAAAGATAAAATTTCTTTCCAAACCATTCTGTAGAGATTAAAAAAATTTATAATGAAGTGTTGTTGTATGCCTAACGGTTACGGAGTTAATACAAATGTTTAATTTAAAATGTTCATGTTTAAATTGTTAGTGTTAATTATGTTAAGTTATGTTAATGTTAAAATGTGAATTTAAAATTTTATGGAGAGTAAAGTGTTGTATTTTGCTTGTTTATGGATATTTTTTAATAAAATTTGGCAATTTTGTTTATTCCATATCATTCTATCAACAATTCAATAAAAGAACACACCTCAATATCTTCCCTGTATCAGCAAACCTAAGTACTCATTAAAATTAATGTTATTTAGATATGAATAGGAAATATTTTAGTAGAAATCCAGCCAGGTAAATGGAAATTCGCTTAGTCTGCAGGTTTGCTGCGGCGGGGGTATTTGTATATGGAATGGTAAAAGAATAATGAAATAGGTGCTAACTCACTGTAATCTTACAAATTACCCAAAAACAAAAACGATTACCAATGTCATCGGTTTCTCGAATCATGTGCTGGAGACTGGAGACATATGCCTGTGGTATGATACAAGCAGCGAATCCTGGGTACAAGACAGCAGTGAGGGTAGGTAAGCCTTAGAGGGGATGTTTTACTACTGTTGTGCTTTCCATTGATTTTTCGTACCTCTGGTTCTATCTGGAGAGCTGCCAGGTTGTTTATAATCGTCATATTCGACTACCTATTTTCTTATAACATTGGATATGTGGCGTAGCAAAATATAGGCTACTTTTAAACGGTGGGTAGGGTGTAGAAGATAGAATAGTAGGCTATAGCCACCTCACAATTAGACATTTTTTTAAATTATATATTGTACTTCCAGGTTTGAATAATGTCCAACAGACATATTTAATAAATTTACATACATCTGGACCAGATAGAAGATGTATTTTACTTAGACCCATAAAATATGTTTTGAACTACGAATAAAGAAAATTTAAATTATTTTAAACAAATTGACCATGAATAAATGCTATTGTCTGAATTGCATAACAAACTTTACTTTTTTATCATGCAAGTTGAAGCAACCAGTTTATTACTGTTGACCTACTAGGCTATTGCGAATAAAATCAGCGATAATTCTTGGAATACAACTATGCATATCATAGATTAAACACACTCCCATGTGTCGTCCCTTACACTAAGGGAGTATGTTTAATCTATGCTCTTATATCTATCATTAGCTGTTACCCGCGGCATTGGAAATATTGTATTCAATGCCCGCGGTCTTCGCCCCGTTTAACTTAATAAGTACACACTAGTGTACCTGTTGCTCGAATTCGAGCAATTGCGAAGCATTACAGGCAACTCACGAAGATTATGGAAATACTCACGATCTACACAACAGTTAGATATAATCAAAATCTTTTGTAAATATCTTATCTTTTCTCAAAAAGCTGATCTTGTAAGTTAACTCCTTAAGAAATAATTTTAAGAGTTACTGTGATATTAGAATTTTCCACTGATTTGGTAATAGAACATTATATTGCAAAACATGACACGATGCAGAATAAAATCAATTTTAAAATCAGAAAAACCCATTGCAAATACTGTACTACATTTTGAAAAAATCAATAAATCACAATTTAAATATTAACAGCTGTTTCATTAAAAAGTAGTGTAGAATTATGCATATGGTAAACAAATTTGAAGAGGCAACTTTAAAGGCTTCTGGGGCAGAGCCCCAAGGGAATTTACCTCGTTCCTCTTTTGATGGCTCATCTATAGACCAAGACCTTTCTTTAGAGACCCCTACCAAGTTTCTATGCCCAGCCGTTCTCTCAAATTAGCTGGGACAAAAACCCAGTTTTTCCTCCATAAGAATAACATGGGATGGGAATTCAAAGGCCACTGGGGCAGAGCCCCAAGGAAATTTACCACGTTTCTCTTTTGATGGCTCATCTACAGACCAAGACCTTTCTTTAGACACCTCTACCGAGTTTCTACGCCCAGCCGTTCTCTCAATTTAGCTATGACAAAGAAAAACAGTTTCAAATTAATATATAGATACTATTGACTTGACTTACTAGTGAAACAGCTGCTAAGATTCTAATCTATATATAAAGCCAAAAGTACCCATGAACTTTTGAGAAAACTACAAGTCACACCCCCATAAACCATATACTTAAAATGTTCGTCATGACGAGAAACCTTGCGCAAAATTATCCATTATTTCATAAATTGCCCTATAAGGTCGTAATTGCTTTCCAAAGGGACCTTTCCATTTACCTAATGTTAAAAATACCTCTGCTGTTATTATTTGTTCGTATTACCATTACTGTATTCTGTTTTGTTTATTTTATCTTAACTTAACCAATCAATAGTTTTATTAATACTAATGTAGTAAAACGGGGTGGAGCAGCCCGTGGGTAACAGCTAGTTCATTTTAAATATGAAAATTCTTAAGGTTAACATGGGATGGGAAACTCCAGAGCCAACTGGGGCGGAGCCCAAACGTCAGATCAGAATTGATCTACTTAGTTTTCCTATTTAATGCCTAAAGAATTAGAGTACTAAGTTTCAGAATGGTTTCAGTCTCCTAGTTAAATAAGAAGTAGAAGAATAAAGTTATGAGTGAGTCAGTCAGTTAGTCAGTACTGTAAGACTTTGCATTTTATAGGTACAGAGTATGGATATAGATTCACTATTGGTAGACTAATTTAGATCAGTACAATCACAATCGATCGGTGGCTCACATCAAGATACGACAATTTTGATTTAAAAACTGGTGACAACTTTAACATGGGAAGGGAATGTCTTATTAGTTGTATCAATAGTCGAGTCAAAGGTATTGTCAAAGTTTTATTTGTATTTAAATTCAAAATTAATATATCACACGCTCAATAGTAGAGTGTCATCATTCTATATACACCTCTTTCTTCAGTCTCCTGCCTGTAGATACAAGCTGCATAATCTATTGGCGTCCCATTGAACTATGGTCTACCTTACCGACATATTTTGACATCAAAAATTACATGTTCTTGTTAATATAGCCAGTACCCTCCTCAATTGGACATCACACGTGCACTGATGCACTGTTACAATCTGTCAAGCGGTTTCGGAGTTCATAAAGGACTAACAAACAAACATACTCATTGGATTTTATTATAGACTAGCTGGCCCGACAGACGTCGTCCTGTCTTAATGTGGTTTTATGTCAAAAGCTCGTCCATTTTCAAGATGAGCTCGTTCGCATGGCTCAATCACGTCCTGGTTGAAGTTCGTTCGCTACGCTCACTCGCCTTTAGGTTGGAGCTCGTTCGCTGCACTCACTTGCCTACAGCTTAGCTCGTTCGCTACGCTAACTCGCCTCCAGGTTGAAGTTCGTTCGCTACGCTTACTCACCTTTTGGTTCCAAATTAGCTGTTGTCATAAATAAAAAAAATAATAGTGCTGCACCCTGTTGGTAAACCTATTTTCTTAAATATTACATTTAAATATGAGTACTCATAAGATTAACAAGGGAAACATCAGAGCCACTGGGGCGGAGCCCTTTTGACGGATCTGCACCAAACTTCACACAAACCATCCTTGAACAATGCTTAATAATGCCTGAAAGTTTCATTACAATCTGTCGAGCGGTTTCGGAGTCAATAAAGGACAAACAAACAAACATACATTGGATTTTATATAGATTTCGCCACACTACTCTGTTTACATACATACATGGTGGTTTACATAATGAACTTCCTACGCAAGGATTTAGGCCTAGTTCCGGAAAACAGCTGTTTGCGGGGTTTCACGTACTGGTATTAGTACTGTACTGTATAGAATGAGTTTTGAGTTTTTACCGGACACAAACCAGCTGATTATTATTTGGTCATGCACCGCTGGTCGAAACGGCACACGGAAGATTTCTCAGGTGCCGTTTGATGTCACTAACTGCTGACGTCACTTTGAGGGAACACCAATACCGCAACGTATACGGCTTCAGCCATCGGCCTCGATGGTGCAGTGGATAGCGTTGCGGGCAGATATTCCGAATGTTTCGGATTCGAATCCCGCCGGCGGCACTAACTTTTTATCAACAATTTTTTCATATCAGCAAGTTTGGTTGGTTTGGTTAGGTTATTACAGTTTAATTTTATAATTAAAAAATTATAAAACTGAACTTTTAGGCAATTATAATTTTATTTTATGAACAAAACTATTTTTTATATTAGTAAACCTTTATTCGATTTTTCCATTATCAGCACGTTTGGTTAGTTTGGTTAGGTTATGACAGTTTAATTTAATAATAGAAAATTATAAAATTGTCTGTTTCTTCAGACGCAGCAGTTAGTGACGTCAGCAGTTATTGACGTCAAACGGCACCTGAGAAGTCTTCCGTGTGCCCCACCGCATGTCTGGTTATCAGATTATAAACAAAAACATAACCTCTAGTTTTATGAATATGAGGAGTGATTTTTGGTTATTTAGTTGGTTAAGTATGTTTTATCTAACTTTATGGTTAAACCAAACCAAACAAAACCATAAACCAACGAGCTTAAACAAATGTAATGTATATTGAAGTGAACGAACAATAATTGAACATTAACACTAAGTTACAGTCACACACAAGTCATAAAAGTGGATCTGCTAATCGCATCTGAACAAACAGAACCCTAATGACGATAATTAATATATAGAAACCAGATACCAAACATACGCTGGAGGAGGTTTGAAGAGTGCAGATAGAAGCCAAGAGGTACAAATAAAATCATCCGAAAGGTAAGGCCTCGGTTAAGTAGGCCTAAGTTATAAGTTATGTTTCTTGAATTTATAACATTGCTACAGGTATGTCTATTAACTTAATAATTAAAATAGGCCTACACAAAATAAAAAAGTTGTGTAACTTAGGACAGTATTAGTAAGTTAGGCCTAGGCTAGGCATAAGTTAGATAAACTTGTGTACACAAATTGTTGAATTGATTTAAATAGGCGAAGCCTAAGTTACCGGTACACTAAATTAAGAGACAAAACCTTGTGTAGATTAGCTTCATAACCCAAGAATTTGAGACTGTTAGGCCTACTGGTTGAAACCAGAAAAGTTTAAACAACTTTTAAAAAAGCCTAGGACACCGCAAGCCCATACAATGTTAACTTACACACCCTATTCTAAAGTAGGGTAAACTTCCGTATCTGTTGTCAAAAACAACCGAATGAAAAATTATTCGATAACTTATATCGATTATTTCATTCAATAACTTATATATCGTTTGGTTTGATTAGGTTAGCTAAGGTAGCCTAACTTAAAGTGATGAGCATCAATAGGTCAACCAACGATGTAGGCTACCGATAACATAGGCCTAGTCTTCAGTTAAAAAGACATCGATGTTACATTGATGTTTTACTGGCGTTTTTTCAGTTTTTCATCTGCTCTCTGTAAATTATAGGCCTACTGCCTCAGCTAAGTTAAGTTAATTAACCTAAGTTACTTAAGTAAGTTAAGCATAGGTTACTCTAACTTAGGAGCATTGATTAAACACTGCCTTGGATTGGTTAAGTTAGTTTAAATGCTGCTTACTAACTTACACGTTCAAGATTGGCAGTTTCTCTTTCACATTTGCAAGACGAAATAAATAAATATCGGTATTAACTTAACTTACCTAAGCTTAGGCCTAATTTATCATGCTGGAGAGCAAGAGTGAGCGCTGCCTTTGAAATTTATTACATCCCAGTTAACTTAGGTAATTATATTCCGTATATCTAACTTACACTGGTTAAAAATGTATTGGGTTTCATGCAGATTCGTGACTGTAATTAAGTGTCTTGAAGTTAGGTTGGATTAGGAAGGTAAAGTTTAAGTTAAGCATTAAGAACTGACTTATTAATTTATGTTACCGGGGTACCTCCAGACTGTTTTTGTTCAATTAAAATAAGTTACAGTGTACGTGAAACACAGTATAACAATAAAAAAATGCTTGCATTCAATTTGAAATTTGATTTTAATGACTTGCACATAAAATAATTTTTCAGCTCTTTGCATGAAGTTAATCTAAAATAAACGGTATCAGCATTCTGACACATACTTTCTCCCATAAGTTTGTCAACAACCTTTATCATGTGTAAGCGGTGAGAGTAAATATACGGAAATGGGATTTGTACAATTTTGTTCAGAATTTAAAGGAATATAACATGTTAAATTTTTATCAAAATCGTTCGGGCCTTTTTTGGGAAAATCCGATTTTTCTGTTATTTAATGGGGGTTTTATGGGAAATGACATAGTTTACAATAACTTTTGAACCGTAAATTTTACAGAAATGGGATTTGTACAATTTCGTTCAGAATTTAAAGGAATATAACATGCTAAATTTTGATCGAAATTGTTCAGGCCATTTTTGGGAAAATCCGATTTTTCTGTTATTTAATGGGGGTTTTATGAGAAAATGACATAATTTACAATAACTTTTGAACCGTAATTTTTACAGAAATGGGATTCGTACCATTTTGTTCAGAATATAAAGGACTATGACATACTAAATTTTTATCAAAATCGTTCGGGCCATTTTAGGGAAAATCCGATTTTTCTGTTATTTAATGGGGGTTTTATGAGAAAATGACATAATTTACAATAACTTTTGAACCGTAATTTTTACAGAAATGGGATTCGTACCATTTTGTTCAGAATATAAAGGACTATGACATACTAAATTTTTATCAAAATCGTTCAGGCCATTTTCGGGAAAATCCTATTTTTCCGTTTTTTTATGGGGTTTTATGGGAAAATCCCCATTAAAAATAAAAATGTCTAAAAAATTTAAAAAAAAACATCATAATTGTAAGGACTATAACATACTATGTTAAATCAAAACAGTATTTTTTTCTAAAATCCTGTTTTCGTTATTTTATGGGGTTTTTATGGGAAAATAACATATTTGACCATAACTTTTGAACCGTAATTTTTACAGATATGGGATTTGTACCATTTTATTCAGAATTTAAAGGGCTACAACATACTAAATTTTTATCAAAATCGTTCGGGCAATTTTTGAGAAAATCCGATTTTTCCGGTTTTTTATGGGTTTTTATGGGAAAATCCCCATTAAAAATCAAAATTTCAAAAAAATGAAAAAAACGCCTGGAGATACCATAGATTAAAACCTACATACCAAATTTCATCGAAATCGGACCGCAGGTGTAGTCTCTAGCTCTGTACACATCCAGACACACAGACACACACACACACACACACACAGACATCACTTCGAAAACCACTTTTTTGGGTCCAGGGGGACCCAAAACGAATATATCCACTAAAAACTCAAACTCGAAAATTTTGACGAAAACAATACTTTCTCCATATACTATGGTATAGGGGGAGAAAGTAAAAGTACAACTTAATCGCACATGAATAGGTCTGGCGAACGAGGAGGCAGATTAAATGCTTAATGTTAAACTTACCAAATCGCTTTCATTGATGAATTATTTTTCCAAATTTCTATCCGTGAACATATATTTTTTTAACTTACTTTACCCCAATTTTATTAGTCATTGTGTGAACTTTTGCTTCAAAAATCATTAATTTTACATTGGGAAAGGTTTAATTGTACAATTATAGGTTACCGGTAAACTTACATACAGATAAAAAATAAAAATAAATAAAAACACTGTAAGTTCTTAGCCTACATGTAAAATTCCCATGTTGTTCTTATGAGGATGAAGTAAGTTAGAACCCCAATCTGACAAATGGAAATTTACTTATTTAGTCCGCAGATTTGCTGTGGCAGGGGTATTTTACTGCAAAAGCTATACTACAGGGAAGAAATTAAAAAATACATTCCTCTAATATTGTCTATGGCCAACTTACATAAGTTAATCTTTTAGATTAAGTAAGGCAACATGGATGTTCCTAAGTTACTCGCTGCATCACGCTATGGGTTGATTGTTGACTGAAAATAGCATATCTACTATAAAATAAATAGGCCTACATTAGTTCACATAAATGAATGATTATCCTACATAACAAGAAGAAATTGAATCCTCTTAGGTACTTGTGTCAGCTCCTCATTTTGTAATTGTTTAAATGTTTCTTATAACGGTTATTTTAAAATTAGGCCTTAACTTTATTACAAAGATATTAGTCACATGCAAAATTTGCTTCATAAGTCTTTTACAGTGTTTTCAAGATCTAAACTTAATCTCATTTTAACAATATGCGATTGTTTCAGGATTAATATATTAATGATTAGTTCTTATTCAACTTCATGTCTCACAGCGAAAAAGACACAAACGTTCCACGTTACATCCCTCTCCTAGCTGGTGGCTTCAGTGGAGTTGCCACACGGTTTATTTGCCAGCCGCTAGATGTTCTTAAGATCAGATTTCAGGTAAAGCAGCATGAATTAAGTTTAGGTAAAAAAACAAGGTGAAAAAATTGTGTGCTAAGAAATTGAAATTACTTGCTATAAAGCACATCATCTGCAAAGTTTCTATGATGCAAAATTGTGAAACTCTAGTTATATCTATGATGGTTGTTTAAAATCATCAAATTTCTCTATAGGAAAGAAGCTACCTATTTCCATAGGCCATAGGTAAGACTTAGATCCAGGACCGATTTACTTTTTACCTTGATACCACCAGAGGCTGAAATAATATTTGGATATAATATACAATATATAAGTTACTCATCACCACTAACTTAGGTCAAGATCAAGTGTTATTTAAATGGGGAATAATAAATGAATTGTTTAATAGATTTGAGTCCAACCACACAAATTGGCATTCACTTAATCTGCAGGTTTGCTATGGGGGGCCCTATTAAAAAAAAAAATTAAATAGAGTTTATTGGGTCCATATCAATTGATCCAGAAGAAAACAAATAATTAATAATAATACCCCCGCCGCAGCAAAACCTGTGGACTAAGCAAATTTCCATTTGCCTGTTTTGGATTTTAAATTAAATCTATTTAAGTAACATTAGGTTTAACAACTACCTAGGTTCAAGGTTTGTCGCTACAAAGAGGTTAAATACATTTTTTTTTTCAGTGAAATATAAATAGGTACCTAGCTTAGTATAGAATAAACAAACTTGCCAAGTTTGCTCAAAATATATCTATAAACAAGCAAACTACAAAAGTTAAGTAAATTCTCCATAAGTATAACATGGGAATTTTAAATTTTCATTTTATTTGATTCTGTTACCAGAAACCGCACAAAAACACTCCAGTGTAGTAAAATATTTGTTTTTTAAGCTCTTTGAAATGGTGTTAAGAGAAATTTTGAAATTTTATGTGTTTTGAGGGTCGAAAATGAGAAAAACCAACTTTTAGGCCTATCCTATAAAACTCCCCATAAATCCCCGTTCTTAGTCTGATCATGCTGGTTTGTAAAATAATTCATGTTTATCCTGCCCTACACCTTCAAGCCAAATTTCATCAAAATCGGACAAAAATTAATTAATCAAGTTTATGGCGTTCATGGACATATACTGTATAAATAACGACTAGTTTTTTTGGCCTCTAGGGACATCATAATGAAAAACTATATTGGTCCTGGGCCTAGGTCTTACCGTGCCATTTACAGTAGCCTAATTGCTATTTCCCTACAGGGAAATTCACTAAAATCATGAACATCTCCGTTCTCCCACTGTCATTAGGAAATTATCGAAGTCGCGATTGCAGCAAAATTCATATCATCTCCGGTGGTTGTGTAGACATCATTGTTGCTTTGCGGTCGTGTAGGCCTAGACATCATAATCATCTCCTGTGGACTTGTAGACATCTTAATCGTCTCCTGTTATTTAAAAAAAAAAAATTGATAATTTCTCTTATTCATGAAGACATCGTCATTGTTTCCTGCGGTCATAGTGAAATCCTGAATATTCCCCGTGGTAACTGAAACATCATCGCCTAGTTTTCCACGATTACTGCAAAATCATGAACACCTCCCGCGGTCATTATCGTCTTGAGCAGTCACGGAAACATCATTGTCGTCTTGAGCGATGGCGGCAAAAGCGTTAATTTTCTGATTGCGCGATCCTCGCCAAAGTGTCTGATATCGGTATCGAAATCCACTTTTGACGATTGTTTCTTGATATCGATACCATTGTCCAAATATCGTTGGTATCGAGATCTTGTAGCCTATCAACAATCAACACTTCTTTAATTAATAAATTTATATATATCAATACATTTTGGGCAGGCCCGGCCCCCTTGGGCCCCCTACCCCAGATACGTCACTGCTTAGTAGATTTCTCATCCTTGTGGATGAGCTGAAGACAATTTTATTGTTAGTTCCATCCGGTGTACTGTAGTAGTAGAGGTCGTGTTTTGTTTACAACTTGTTTCTTGTTATTTCAGTAATTTAAAACCTCGTTTAATCAAATAAAGCGATCTAATTATACACAATAACTGGTCTAGTGACAATAACCAAACCGTGAAGTAAAAATCATGAAATTAACCCTAAATAATAATAGAAACAAAATTTCATCGACACTAGATGGTGAACTAGACACAAAAAACGGGCTTCAAATTTTACAATGGAATGAGAAGTCTACTTGTGTTGGTTAGTCTATGATTTAGATTTGGCACCCTTTTCTAGCAATGCGAACACAACTAAAATTGGACATAAACTGAGGTGGACTAATGATATCATTTTTGGGGTGGTAATACTTTGGATCATTTAAAAGAATGCAAAACATGATGTGTCCTGTGAGTTAGTCGTCAGTCAAACACACTGCGGTAATCACCTTATGCTCGTTCAGGGTCCACCGTGGTCACTGTGTAGCGGATCGCTACAATAGCGCAAGTCACGTAACGACGATGCGCGCGCAGTCGGCCCGGGAAGGCACGTGCAACGAGCCAGGAGGGTAGTAGTGTGTCGACCGCCTGGAGCTGTACATCTTGACCGGATAAGTACTAGTGACTATGTCTAGATAACTTCGTAGGGGTTGGGGAAGGGTGTAGGTTAGGGTAGATAGTAATTAAATTATGTAATTTATTAGGTTCTCGAATGGTCGTGGTCTGGCCATCAATATCACAAATTTAGAATTCACATTTGCTAAATCTAGTTACCTTTTTCACGAATTAGAATAAGTCCATATATATATATTTCTCTGTTCACTATATTATAATTAGATACATTAAGAACATAAAAGCTGGCTGTGATAGGCAGCTAAGGTAATATTGTGCACTTTGACGAGTTAGATAATTAATTCCTTGCAATAGAGTTGGGTTAAGACAGGAAATGTGCGTGATTTGGCAGTGGTTAGAGGAAGATATATAGGGCCCAGGTATCTTCATTTACACTCATACTACTCCACATCATCACAACTGCACTGGATTCTTGAGAGGGCGATGGCGTCTGCACCCCTTGCAGACACGAGGTTATCAAGTTTTATGTTAATTAATATAAATAATATGCGTAACAATGTGGTTGAGCATTATGAATAATCTGAATACCAAAACAACCACCTTCAAAACAAGCTTATCAAGTTTTTTCTAGCGTTTGCCGTGTTTTTGATGCCATACTCGAGCAAAAGTAATTTCATTAAAAAACCTGGTTCATTAGTATGGACTATCTTATGACTTATTTTGTGTACAATATTTAAAAACATATAGCCTTTTCAATTTTAAAACAAGTTGTAAACAGGAAAAAAATTCTAATGCTTTCCAGTAAAAGCAGTTCAAACCCCTAAATGATTTCACGGAAATCATTTACTGACTTCCCGGGAATCAAACGTGGCCCTCTCGCACCATGTGAGACACTAACCATTAGGCTACAACAGACTCAAAACATTACTTAGAATTTATTCAAAAACCTTTTGGATAATTGCAAGCCGTATCTTACACAAGTTGCCTGGCTCAACTGGTTTTTCTTGTTTCAGCTTCAAGTGGAACCCATTGCAAAAAGTGGAGTAGAGTCTAAATATAAAAGCATTCCCCAGGCTACACGGTTGATCATTCTAGAAGAGGGAGTTGGTGCACTATGGAAAGGTCATGTTCCAGCTCAATTTCTGTCTCTCACCTACGGAATGATCCAGGTAACAGAGCAATCAGAAACCATCTATCATCAAATATCCAATAATACACCGAGAGCATATGTAGGATTTATTATCTCTCGATTTTTTACATTGCATTTTAATAACATGTAACCGTACCCAGTTCTCTTATCTTTAAATTGAAACTGGACCATGTTAAAAAAATGTCCTGTACGTGACAGTTAGATGGATAAAACGCTAGAATGTTTGCTATTGAGAACATGCTCAATTGTATTTCATAGTACACAAATTTAAACTCAAATAACTTGGTAACATACAATGTCTACAAAATGTGATAATTAAATTTAATACTTTTTAAATGTAAACTCATAATTACTTGACTTGAATAACCCTCAAGATTTATTTATTATTGATCTAGTATTAACTTAAAACCATCTATAATATTAAAACGAAACAGAGTTTTTTTATTTCACGATTCTGAATCAACCACTTGACGGATTTTCATGATTTTTGTGTTGAAAGAAAGATAATTTTGAGAACTAGGGAATGTCGAAGCCATAATTTTAGTTTAGGGTTTCAGTTTTTTCGAAATTAAGTTTTAATTTTTTAAAAGTCTAGCAGCCGACGCTAGCAATTTAAAGTATTTTCAATGCTGGTTTAACTAACAGCTGGTTTATAACTGTCATTGAAATGTTTATGTTACGAGTTGTTTGTTTACAAAAATATTGCTCGTTGGTATTTGCGTTTGCTTACATACGATTTCACTTTAAAATGTAGGTAGTTTTCCCTTACCGTGAAGGATCTGCGTTATCAGGAAATGTGTTATTTTTAACTAAACATCTCAAACACTTGCGTTCAATCAAGTTTTTTCGTAAATACAATCTGTGTAAGTATTTAGTTTATGCATTGCAAATATCAACTCATATTTGGGAAATATTTTTTCAGCAGTTTATCGCTTAATTGTTTAAGATATAAGTGGTTTACGTGTTGATACTTCTTTTTCTGTATGTTTGAATGTGAGTATGTCGGCATACTAAAATTTTGGTTAGTAGGCTAATGAAAGCGTCAATCGGTGTAGTAGGTCTCTTTAAAACTGTTAAATAAACTGCAGGGTGCAGCAGAAACCAAAGTCGACTCACCATACCAACTATCCCCGTAGTACTGATGATTCAGAAACTCGGGCACTGACCAAAGAACCGAAAAACCTTAATAGTGGGTTAGATAATAAAGTGCAGAGAAAATATACAGACCAGTTCAAGATAACGGCCCGGAGGTCGAAATAAAAAAGAACAGAGAGATAAGAGAAATGTGTTAACACCGAAATATAGGGATGCTTTCCAGAAGTAGGTAAAGCTTGGATGGACAGGCTGTGCATAAACTTTTAAAAAGTATATTGCAAGGAGTACCACACGATAGACGGGAAATATCAAGTTATGAAATGCATCCTCAGACTGGGGTCCAAATTTTGAATAGGCAGGTGATAGAAAAGAATCCTCATAAAAGTTTCAGTGGTCACGGAGGTAAGATAAGGTACGGTAAGTACATATATTAAGTAAGTACATAAGTAGTACAGTATGCAATTGGAGGTGGCATGTAGCTACTCTACTCAAAACCAGTGTGAATCGGTCGCCAATCTCACTTCAAGATTTTTCAAATCGACACAAAATGCTGTTTTATGGTAAAATTATCGGATTTAAAATACATATTGCCATATTTTAGGTCTATATTCGAATGGAATAAATAGGTGGTCACGTTACATTTGTTTATAAGGTGATCTTCCCCATTAAAACTGCCAGAATTTGTGTATATGCGTGTAAACTAAATGTTCTGAATTATTCAGTTTTAGTTGACAAGTGGATTCCCGTACGTAGGACGGGCTATCAGCTCGTCTCAATAAAAAAAATAGCTCTGTATTTAGGTTTTTTCATTATAGTTTTTTATTAGGTAGAATACCTTGGACATTTTGCTTCTTTGGTTCAAAGTTGTTTACTTCAACAACCACCAATGATTAACTGATAACAGCATGCTGCAGATGAGTAAAATAAGGCACTTTTTAAATCTTCTTTTGTTTTTTAATTTTGTTATTACTAGGCGTACATTACCTTAATTATCTTCCTTGTCACCAAGACCAGCGATGCCGGATAGGTTGTTTCAATTACTAATACTAAATAAATACTAATAAAAACTTCTTTTTTAAAATCAAATCTTTTATATCATGGCAGTGGATGTATCAAATCTTTGAAAAAACTCTTACAATATAATATGGCCTATCTTTTAGCCAGGGCAGTGCTAAATTTAGAAGCTTCCAGGTTCTTCAGTGTTTGGGGGTAGGCTACCGGTATTGTAGATGGTCGGGTATGAATTTTTTGTTTTTGAGAGTCTGCAGAAAGGGATGTCTATTTCATTGTTATGCCTGGTTTTATGTGTATGTATAGTACTTCTGGTAGGGAAATTCAAAAAGTTGTTTTTAACATTGACAGAACACAGAAGGGTGTATTGGCTATAGACTGTTAAGACATTTGTTTTCATGAAGAGTTACTTACAATGATCCAGTCTTACTAAAAGTAACTATACAATTAATTGACGTTGCTATACATGTATTTAATGTCGATGGCAATAAATGGATTTTATTTTATTTGCCTTCTGGAGTAATAGGATATCGTTGCAAGCAGGCACATGTTTCCATAGCATTAGGTCATAGCTCAATTCACTATGGAAGAGAGCGTGGTATACCACCAGCAAATAGTGTGGACTTATTATCTGAGTGAGTTTTCTAAGCAGATGTACAACTCTTGACAGTCTTGTGCTGACCTCATCTATGCTTGGTCCATATAAGTTTCTGGTCCATTCTAAAGCCAATGAGAAAGACTACGCCATTTTCTTGGACATGCTTAGCCAAAGTGCAAACAATCGCTTGTGTTTTGTCTTCATTTAGCTTTTACAGTACATTTTCTCTCCAATATTACTTCTAGGCCTACACATAGTCTCTTCAATATTATTTATTTTGTAAATGATAGACGTGTGAGGAAAAAAATGACCACACATATTGACCATTGACTTTGATATGCATTCAAAGTCAATGTGTTTGTTATTTCCCAGGCATTTTTGGTTAGGTTTGCATTATCCATAATCCCTCAGCCCCACATTATTGTGGATAATCAGGATTATACTCTAATAGCATTGACTATAGGGGAGCGAGCTGGCGTAGTGGTTAGAGCGCGGGACTTCAGTCCCTGAGGTCCTGGGTCCTGGGTTCGATCCCCACCAAGTCACCAATGGATTTTATCTAAGTGATAATGCCGCAACCCCTAGTTCTAGCCTGAAGTAATGTGAAAAGCAATCCCAGGCTCATGCCTAGCGTCCTAGGGGTGGGGGGGGGGGGGGAATAGCATTGACTATACACAGAATAGACTTCCCATGTTATGTAACAATTTGAAGCGAAGAAAATAGATGAAGTTCAGGACCATCTCACTTGAGGGCACTAGTGTATTGGGTTAAATGTTGTATCAATAGTCAAATGTTGAATATAAATTAAAATCAACGCAGTATCATAGCAAACAGCTGATTGGTATACCACTTGACACATAATATTGTAATTAGTTGGTACTAGACCATCTCAAAAGGTTACACCACATTTTTGGCTTCATATTTTACATTACATGGGAAGTTGACTACTCCCCAATCAAACAATCGTGGCAAAGACACCAGAAGTAATAAGTAAGTAAGTAAGAAGTAAGTTTTTATTCTGTGTATAGTCAATGCTAATACTGCTAATAGTTATTGCAATCCTTATAAAGTTTTGTTTGAACTTATTTGGATATTTTTTTTTCAGTTTGGTGTCTACAATGGCTTGGTTAAGGAATCAAAAAGCTATCCACTGTTAGCGGATAACAAATCTAAAGTGGAGTTTGTTTGTGGATTCACTTCAGGATGCTTGGCTACTATCTTTTCGTTCCCATTTGACATCGTTCGAACACGGCTCATCATCCAAGGAAATAACAAGGCATGTAAAATTTATTTTAAATCAACGTGGATACACAAGTATCATACAATTTCAACTTCGTAAGCATACTTTGCATAACTATGGATCACGAGAATTGATTTTGTCCCCTGAATAGTTGGGGTTTTGCTTGGTTTTACTGACTACGATCAGCTGTTTCAGTAGCCAGGATATTTTATTTCGGCTTAGAGCCCAATAACCAGGGACAGCTGGGTCCAGTTTAGAACCATCAAAAAGCTACTGACTTTTCTCTTGATCGAACCAGCGACCTTTTGATTGTCAGGCGAGCAATATGACCATTCAGCTACCCAGACAGTTATTACTAAATAACCTTAATAAGCTCAATCTTAATAGGTACCTAGGATGTCTCATAGGCATAGTCTGGTGTAATTTTAAGGACATAAATAGGTCTCCCTATTATTAGCTGGATCAAACTTTTCTTAAATTACTCTAATGTAAATTTTCAGCCCATTTGGGTTGTTAGTTTTTGTGTTAACTTGGAGAAACACATGATACAGATTACCGATGTAAACAATCATCATTATCTAAATTTAAATATTGCCTTCGTCAGCCAGCTCCTGTATTGTTACCAATGTAACGGCCGTTTCAGCATCACTGTGCCATCATCAGACTGTTCAGCCAGTCTCAGCTGACTGTTTCAGCCAAAAGGTTAAACAACGCCTTTTGGCTGATCAGTCTGATGATGGCACAGTGATGCTGAAACGACCGTAACATTGGTTTGGTAACAATGCAGGAGCTGGCTGACGGAGGTAATATTTCAATTTAGTTATAGAACCAGCTCAGGGGCTAGAAAATATGGATTTCATCTCTATCTTCTATGTAATACGAAATAGGTTGTTTGTTATTTCACATTACTTAACAACAGCAATTTTCTAGGTATACAAAAACATGTTTCATGGGCTGAATCATATATATAAGCACGAGGGGGTTCGTGGCTGGTTCAAAGGATTGTCTCCTACACTTCTACAGATAGGACCACTTTCAGGACTCCAATTTGCTTCATACCATTTCTTTAAGAGACTCCTTAAAGAGTTTGGTAAGTACTAAGTAGGTTAGTTAAATTAAGAAAAGTGTTTTTAATGGTTAATAGTTGCTTTTGAATCCCTGTGTAGTGTGTATTAAAACATACATATTTTACAAGCTCACATTTTTAACAAACTATGTGTGCACACTTTGTACAGGAAGCCATATAATAAATAATTACTGTAGTTGGAACCTCAAAATGTTCAAAACATAAGCTTTATTTTTATGATATTAATCATCCAATTGAGTTTACTTTACTAAAGTATAATTGTATCAATAGACCTAGTAAAAGACTACTGGCCTTAATGAAATGGTTCTGGCTAAAGAAACTTATGGTTTTAATGGGTAACAAAAATAAATATCATTTGATTAATTTTACACTCATCCATCAGTAATTTTCACCTTAAAATACACACTTGGCCATGTCTGTATCACACAAATCTGACCTAATCCATCCTGACTCCATCAGTAGATTACGGAAAGTGTTGCAAAGTAGTAAATTATACAACCTTGTTCTATTAAGTACGGTAACAGTTTTAGTTTTATTTTATTTTTTTTGTAAATGTTAATTTAATTGTTATTTTGTCAGAAACCAAGTCCAACATGACAAGCAAGTGGTTCACAGTGTCAGAGACGGCTGTCGCTGGCTCGATGGCTGGCTTTACTGCCAAAATACTAGTCTACCCTTTGGATCTCTTTAGGAAGCGATTGCAGTTCCAGGGTTTCCAACAAGCTCGCAAAGGCTATGGAAAGGTATGAAAACAAAATTTGATTACCTATATTGTGTGATTAGAGGTTAACTGTAAGATTGGACCATGAGGTCCTAAGTTAGCTTCAATAAAGAAGGATTTTCATTTCATTAATTAATTTTATTTTGTAATTCATTCTTGTAAACTTCTGTGAAACCACGAGTGTACACTAGCTAAGTTTTAAATCACAGTTCATTGAAAGTTTAAAATATTTTTTAAAGGTACAGGGGGAAAACAATTACACAAAAAGACAACATACTTAAAAGAAAATATTTTTTCAAAGTTTACTAAAAGAATTATTTCAGTTATGAACTGAAATGATATTGTTTGAACAGCAATGTGACCGTGATCATGTTTGCTTTAGCTAAACACTGTTAACACTTCTACACATAGTTATAGAGAGCTACTTGTTTGCTGCATTGGTGATTGCTTTGGAAAGTTTCTTGAGATTTAGGAAAAGGGTGGGGGGAGGAGCAAAGAGTAAAGAAAGAGCCTAACAGATTAGACAATTCCATTAAAAAGAAAAAATCAGCATTAAAATTTTTTTTATTAAGAGGACTAAGGTGTTCACACTGCTTAGTCATTGATTGGACATTTTCAACCAAATGAAATAAAACAGTTATTCTTAAAGTAAAATTTTGGCAGTCCAATGTTCCTTCAAGCAAGCATGTTGTTTCTACTAATTCTTTAACCACTCATTGGTCGCATAACATTATGTGTAACTTTTAACTTACAAAGATTATAACGAAATAAAAATTCATTTCTTAGCATTGTGTATCTATTAAACTGTATACCATACTGATATTTCCATAGTGATATGAAGTAGGCCTACCCATTAAAATTTACTTAAGTGAAATTTTAAATTATTAGATACATATTTTATTTTTACCAATGGAGAAAGACGATTCTTTGAGTCCCTTAGAAGTAGAACACTACGACATTCTATACCAGTCAGTGTGTAATAGGCTGGCCAACCCACCGACCGCCAGGATGGTTGTTGAGTTCTTACACACTGGGATGGATGAAGGGTCAGTTCAGGGCCAGACAGTCTGTGACAAGATAATTGAAGTGGCTAACACACCAGATAAACCTCTAGACCAGGGTCAGTTCATGGACCTGATGAGGGATGTGGCGTTGTCTGTGCATACATGGGACAGGATCTGGACCTTTCATATGGCGTTCAATGTCCGACTCATGGAAATGATCTTGTCATCAATCCCATCAGAAGATATGTCCAGGAGTCGTGTTTAGTTAGCCTAGTAACATTTTGTGTATACTATCTTTGTGCTTGGTAAATTATTTTGGAATTGTTTAGTGGAATTTGTTTAACTGGCAGGTATTTCCATTTTACTGTGTACAAGGTTCTATGTGACTTAAGTTCTATATGTTCCACAAACTGTGAAATCTTTTATTTAACACATTCACTACTGGGTGTCAGGAGACTATACATACAGAGTGAGTGTAACAGCAACAGCTGGTATTGAATCTGTTAAACACATCATTCATAGGAGCTATTGAGGAAAAATGTAGAGGGGAGATATCATTCTTCTGTTAAAGTTATTGTAACTCAAATAATGATGCCCTTCTCTGACTATTTGAAGCTAGGAGATGGATAACTTTTATTTGAGTGTAACCACCTAAACAAGAAAAAGTACAGACTGTTCATTGTAGTTGCGACTAATTTTATTCAAGACTTGAATGGAACACTCTACCATGTGCTAGTGTAGAAAAAAATGTTACCGGTACTGTGAGATATTATCCTGTCATACAGTACAAATACATTAATAGTTATGCTTTGTAGTTTCAAAACCTACGCATCAAACATACTAAAATAAAGGGTTAGGCAATAAAACGGCTCGATAAAAGAAATCACCAATAATTTATTAGGAAAAAAGTATAGTTATTTTACCAAACGTCTTCTTAAGTACATGAGTAATTTTTTCTTCATAAACTATATTTTTTTTAAGACCTGTAGTGTCAGAAAAAGGGCATCGTTCTTGGTTTTGCGCGCTTCGTTGAAATCGTTTATGTCTGTAAAAGTCTACATTTGTTTTGTAACTCTTTGTCGTGCTAGTAGTAGCTTCAAAGTTATTCACCCAAAGGAGGATAGCTTTCCTTGATGGCACGGGAGCCTGTGGCGGTAGACTGAACTCACAATGGAAAGCGCCCTGAGCACAAACCACACTATCCACTGGGAAAGGGGTAAGAGTGGGCGTAACCAATTCCGCAAAAGAGGTACATGAGGTATGTCAGGCGATAGCCCTGCCGAACGCAAACTATAGTTTTTGTAACGAAAAATATAGTGACCCGGAGGTAACTTCCGTGATGCGCTCGATGGAAGGTTAAGGTCATTTCTCCAGTGGTCTCATAACCCCCCCCCCTCTCTCCAGTTGGAGTAAGAATTGTGCCTTTTTTACTGCCTCATTCTAGAAACTAAAACTTGCTGTTCAGCTAATTAATTAGTAAAACTCGCCTAAACTTTTGTTTTAGAACTTGTTAAAACATTGAGTCTGAACATATGTTTCACTTCATGTTTTGTTGATAGCACCATTAACTTTTGTATCACAACCTCAAATACTATTGATTCATCCACTATGAATTTATGTTTCACAACTTGTGTTGCAGAACTTCACCTGTTCCAGTCTTGTTACATGTGTCACAGAGACTGTTAGAGGAGAGAGGACAGTGGGTCTATTCAAAGGCCTTACTCCGAGCTTGGTTAAAGCTTCTATTGTCAATGCTCTGATATTCACCTTCTATGAAGAAATGTACAGTTACCTACTGCGCTTACATCAGGTAATATTTGGTTAACATTATGATATAGGCCTACTGTACAAATCAGACATACAGAGATTTTAAGTTTATCGTCGTGGCTCCAGTCATTGCTAGTTTTCATTTTTATTTTCTGGTACATGGATTTTGGGTTTTGCAACTGTAGGCAAGCTGGACAAGCTATCTGCAAAATGTGGCATTACAATGTTTGATGTACACATTATAATGTCAATAATTAATTATTATAACTGAGTTGACTTTAAATTTGACTTTCCAAACTAGAATAAAATAAACTGTTACCTTGTTTAATATATTTTTTTCTTCTTGCGACGACCGGTTTCGTGACAACAGCCACATCATCGGGTCAATCCTCATAGAACGATTTGTTATATATACAAGTTTTTAGCTAACACAAAACAAAAACCCATTATATTTATAAAGTATTTACAAACAGAAACCATCGCGATGCTTGCACGCTTACGTCGAGCCGGCCGCAACTGGAGTTACGTCGAAGGTCAAGGTGAAGTCATCTGAAATCAACTTGGTTTCCTTTCTCTGTCTAGTTAGATTATAGTGTGAAACAACTCGTTCGCCTGACTGATTTTGTCATTTAAAATATGTTTTGTTTCTAATTTAAAGGCCTTATATATTTCAAAATTTTCCGAGAGCTGTCGTTTTGGCCTTATTGTTGCATGTGTGAATTCCTGTCATATTTTCTTCCACTTTTGAATAGTTGTGGTTGCTACTGACTAGATGTTTGGCGTAATTTATTTTGAATTGGGGTGTTTTTTGATAAATGTTTTTTATATCAGGTTTTAAATGAGCGCCTAGTTTGGCCGATGTAAAATTTGGGGCAATCTGTGCAGGTCATCTTATAAATCATAATCAACTTAAAAATCGTCTTATATACTGTTTCATGAGCATAGAATTACTAAATTTGAGGTTTGGGAGATTACATTGAGCCTGTTTTTGAAACATTTCGTCATAGAGAAGAAATGATTTGATCGCTACATGAAAAGGGCCCAGCAGCATTTTATATAAAACACTATAAAATATTTATTTATATTGGCCTTTATAACTATGCATGTTCATGTAGGGGAATAAATTTACTTTCATTTTCTATAGTTGGTATTTGGGTTTTATGTGTTTGAAAAATAATATACATGTTTGAATAACAAAATGTTTTTTTTTTCTAAAAAAATATAAAGATTTATAAAAGTGATAAAGATTTATAGAAATGACCATTTTCCATGAAAAATTCTTAATTAATTTAATTTATAATGTTATTGCCTTTAAAAAAATGTGTACTTTTCTTGAGAAAAAATGTATTCGGGTTTTGTCTGAGATTTGTAGCGCAAAATCGTAGAATTTGCCATTTTTGGTTTTTAAGCCATAACTTTCTAAAACAAAATGGCAATTAAAATATTTTTACATTTCCATGTAGGGAAATAAATTTTAAACATTTTGTATATCTTGAATTTCACATAAAGAATTTTTGGTTCATGCAACCTTTGCAACAAAGTTTTACTTTACAAATTTCAAAAACCAATTTTTTATTATTTTTTCTACCTAATAGCATACATAATGTACTAAATATTTATTCTGTTGCCATTTTCAAATTCTTCATTCATTACAAACAAGTATTACGGTTCAATAAGTTTGATCTGTTGGTTTTGTTTTTGAAAATATGACTGCAAAATGGCCAAAAATGCCTAGCCACTACAGAGAACGCCAATAGCCAGTTGGAGGGTTAATCGAGTCAGTACTGTAGTTAGATGATGATTTATTTATTAAGATCTCAATATTAACTATAGATGTAGATTTAAAGCTAAGATGGTTTGTCCTGTTACAATTTGCATTTATGGTTTCATAGATTGTTCATGTTTCTTAATGTTCAATCTTTGACTATTAATACAACTTCAGTATCCAATAGTCAATTGTTCTATGTAAATGTACTACACAATAACAGCAGTCCTTTTCTGCAGGTTCCTAGATAGCTGTGAAGTATGTCTACAGGAACTGGAAATGAGGATCAGGAATCTGTGAAATGTGTGCCTTTACCAATTTATTGTTAATCTGTGATTATGTTCCTTTATTATTAGGTTAAAATATCTTTATTAATCACAATTTATGTAGTAATATGTGTTATAGCTCTTTTGAGTAACGTCATATTCAGTATTGTATTTATGTTTTCTTTATAAAAACTCTTATAAGTAAAATCATCTAATTTATAACCCACTTTTAAATTTCATGATGGATAGCCTCTGGATCATTAAAATTAGCAGAATATGGTTTATTTTACCTTGCCTAAAATGATCCTGTATAGTTGTCAGTTGTCACACACAACAGCTGTTTTGTGCTACAATGAGCACATCTTCAAAGTGAAGAAACACAAAGTCAACTCATTTATCCTGCGGTTGAGCACGTCAAAAAACACATAAAGTACATGAAGTTCACACAAAAACACATATTACAAACACTTGGCCAAGCACCGCGAACACGGGACGCGGCGCCGGTAATGTGTAGGAGTCATTTTGGCGGTGTTAAATCACGCAAATTTCCTGTCGTTGCTCAAACCATACTGAAATTAACCTAACAACCTCGTCAAAGTGCACAATAATACCTCAGCTGCATATCACAGCCAGCTTTTATGTTATTTAATACATCTAATTAATGAATAGTGAACAGAGATTTAACAATATAAATGGACTAATCTGATTTCATAAAAATGTATTTACAAGTAGCTAATGTGAATTTAAATATTAATTATTATAACAAACTGGAAATTGAACCACTATACCACGGCCGACTTGGTAAACCTAATAATCTACATAATTATTAAAGAAATTGACAGGAAAGCAGGCTCACCTTTAAATCAGTCCATAGAGACCCATAAAATATAAAACACAAAAGTATAAACGGTACTTCAGTATTAAACGGAGGCCACATTTTGTCAGCGCGCTGCGGCGGTTATGTTAGGTTGGGTTATCGTAAATATTATGTGTGTAGGACTTTCCTCGCTTTGTTATGAATCGAACGATACTTTCTATTATGATAACCCAACCTAACATAACCGCCGCAGCGCGCTGACAAAATGTGGCCTCCGTTTAATACTGAAGTACCGTATAAACTTTTGTGGCCACTGACCACTTTTTCAACCACTGGGAAAAAAGTGGTTCGATTTTTCCAGTGGAAAATTTCTACTTTTGTGTTTTAAAATTTTACGTGTCTCTATGGACTTATTTAAAGGTAAGCCTGCTTTCCTGTAAATTTCCTTAATAGTTCCTGGCAAATGCCCTATCTTTTTATTGGATAATCTACATAATTAAATATTATCTCATTGCCCTAGTCTACACCATTCCCCAAACCCTATAATATTATATACTCATGCTAAGGCTACTCATCCGATCGAAGATGTCCACACAATTTAATACAGTATATAATTGAACGATAACTTAATAAGGGGTATAAAACTTCACCTCAAACATCGAAACGCCTAGGATCACTCCGACTGCACTGATCCCATTATGAACATGTCAACAAAACACTGGATGCCGTAACTATTGTTTGCATCAGTACTAACTGCTTCGCTGTCCGCTGTTTCAAACGAGTCCATGGCTGTTTTCAGGATTGAATCTTGGTTGAAAATGAAAATAAAAAATCATTTATTTTTCAGGCAAAGTTAGGGCCACATGTCCCTTTCTTACATTTAACCTAACATTCATAAATATATAGAAATAATAATATAATGGGATTACGTAATCTAATTAAACATAAACATAGAGCTTCTTCAGGGCCGCCACAAACTGGGAGCGTTAACAGCTAGTGGACCTGGAGGTGGCTTAACCCACCCAGCCAAATCTGCGTTAACTACTTTACATACATAAAAAAATAACAACAAATTTTTTGTTAGAAGGTTCAGACAGATCCAGAAATTCCAAGTTTTACTTTTTAAAAGAAACGAGGTGTTAGCCCGTCCTACGTACGGGAGTAGTCAGTTAAAACTGTGTATAATTCAGAACAGCTAGCTTACACGTAAAGACAAATTTTATTGCAGCCTACAGTAGAAAGAGTAATTATGAATTGAGAAGTGTATAGGCCTAGTCAACGATATCACCTTCCAATTCCATCGCATACCTGCCTCTTCCATAATCAATATCACCACAATACAATAACTCATACTATACACAATTTCCAGTAGGTCTGAATAGAAACTCCCTAAAATAAAACAAAAACATTCAATAAAATTCACAGTACACATAATTATAACGTTGGTGTCCTGACATCATTAAACGAATCGTCCACAGATATCCTTTATATCAATTTCACTGCATCAATTGCTAAATAAATAAGTGTAAACAAAGAAAAGTAAAATCAACAACATATAGTTTGTTTTGGTAAACAGCTGAGTCAAAAATAAAATACTATTCATTTGAACAAAAGAACTGGTCACATGTTGAAGGAACTTAAACCGTAAACACGCTAGTAAAGCTAGTTACGTAATTAATTGTCTATGTTTATTATCCATTCCGTTATCAGTTCTAATATCCTTAATAATTAAACCAGCCACATTGAATCAATGTTCACCGTAATTCCCCATATTCATTTATTTATACTATAAAATATTCTGAGCCACCAAACTTAACCATAACTAAACACACGCCAAACAACTTTTTAGATTTCATAAAAAGATGGTTAGTTTAATTGCAGTATCCTAAGTCAATGATGACGTTTTGCTCAATTTATGTCATTCATCTGTATATCTTTGGATAAAAACCGTCTGAGGTTGTGGTGGTAATTTAAAATCGTATGCCTGAGGGTTCTTGATCTCCTTCTTTATGACATAAATATTTCCGGGCCTAATCCAAACAAAGTTTAAGCATTCAAAAACATTGATTGTAAACAAAAAGCTACCAAGATGAATTAAAACTTGTAAAAAATGGATTTTCCTACCGTTTTCTAAAAAATTTGAGCAGTAAAATAATTTGCATATCCTTTTTAAGACTCGTGTACAGAGCCTCGACTTGTATGATACATCGATTGTGTTACACATCTCGGTGGTCTACTAATCTTACTTATTTCCTATAATCAATGACAAAATTAGAGTAAATGAAATAACCTCATAATTCTAGAGAGCATTTTTATATTTAGTTAAAAGAAAATTATATTGCACTAAAACAAACCGAAGATTACAAAGATTTATTTAAAAAATCCTTTGAACATTCTAGTATTTTACTGTGTATATTTAAATAATCTGTCATCCTCTTATATCTTAGCATTACACATAGTATAAATAAGTCAACCCTTAGTATGTATTTTAATTTTATCCAAATGCTGAATTTGTGTCACATACACGCTTAATGTTTACAGCTGTTACGTTAAGCAAATGATTTTATACCAAAAGCTAGTGTAGAATGATAGCGTCGGCTGCTAGACTTTTTAAAATTTTAAACTTATTTTCTAAAAAACCGAAACACTAAACTAAAATTATGGCTTCGACATTCCCTAGTTTTCAAAATTATCTTTCTTTCAACACAAAAATCATGAAAATCCGTCAAGTAGTTGATTCTGAATCGTGAAATAAAAAACCCTGTTACGTTTTAATATTATAGATAGTTCATAATGAGCAATATACTACATAGGTGTAGAAGGTAGTGAAGAGCCAGCAATTTTTAAAAGGTTTTAATTTTTAAAAGAAATATGATTAAAAATTTTAAAAATGTATTTAAGATTTGCCAGCAAACACAACTGAAAACCCCAACAGCTGTTATATTCTTGTTTTTATTATTTTATAAATATAAATATGTTGCTCATTTTGATCAGCCCTCTGGTTATGTTTACTATTCTTTTAACGTCATGTCCTTCGTTTCTGGAAAATACATCTTTATAACTTCAGCAACTGCTGCAACACAGATTGTACACCAGGGTTTGCACAGATTTTTTACAATCCGTCCTGTTTCTAATTTGTGAGCATAGATTAGGGCCCTTGGGTCGTTTTGTATTTTGGAATGTTTCCCCAGCTCATTAACCATATAGATGTAAGCATAAAAAAAATATAGCCTTATTCTAACATACATGATCCTACAAGGGCCCTTCTAACCGAAAAAAATGTCATCTTTTAAATGCGATCTTAACTTACAATTTAAAGTTAAAAAAGGTATGCAGGAACATGGTATGTGCCTGCGCCGGTTTTCTAGACACCATTCTCTCTTGAATTCTTGGAAATTTTCCTCCGTGATCTCTTTGCAATCGCACAGATGTCGAAAGTAAAGCTGGAGGGTTGATGTTCTGAATTTTAGGAGTTCTTTTTTGTTAATGGGAGTATCTAAAAATGACATATCGAGTTGAATCTTTGACAATGGCTAGAATAAGACAACTTTAAGTACATCAAATAACACTTTTATTAACATACTTTTACTTAAGGTACAAACTCACAGAACATGGCACAGTGTGGTGTGGCATGGCATGTGAATAATCGTCAACCCATGCACACAAATTGTAAATTAATTAAATTTTTATAGAAGCAAAAACTAAGTGATGTGTAAATCTAAACAACACAGCTTTTTTTTACTGTTAAGGAGTCAAACTAAAAATTTAGACAGTTTGGGAGAACATAAGGGATTTTGATTCAATGATTGAATAAAATAACTGTTGATACATTTTTCTTTAAATTTTCATGGACTGGATAGTAAAAACCAACAATCATAAAAGACCAATAAATGAATGTTGACAAAAACGAGGTATTTTGTTGAAACTTTGAATGAATAAAGTCAATAAGTCTTATCTCTAATAACACGTTTTTAAACTAATATTGGCGAAGTTATTATTTAAAATTAGTAATATTTTGTATTTGAAGTGTCTAAAGTTAATTCATTTTATTTTTAAGATATGAAATTTATGAAAGTCAAAACGTAAAAATGTTGTTTTCAACAATATTTTTGTTTGGAAGGTTTTTTGAAGATGTATGATAATACATTGCATATAATACATATATTTTCAACAATATTATCGTATGTATGTTGTTTAGTTTATAATACGTATCTTTTTTTCAAAATATGTCATGACACGCCGTACCGTTGATTGATTGATTGATTGATTCTGTAGGGGCGGACCTTATCCTGTTGCACGTCAGCCACTGATGGGCTTTTTGCGCTCCCCACATGGTACTTCAGAGTCCGTCAAACCTGAGTTGCTTAATGAACTCCAGCATC